TATCAATTAACCTCGTATATTAATTACGTCGAGATTATATTAAATCAGAATTTTTATAACGTTTCATTATGCATTATGCTCGCGCTTAAACGTTCCGGTGTATTTCGTTCATTTGTTCCGCGAGTTATTCCATTTTATGAAATACCAGCCGTTCATGCGGCTCGTCTCGTAACCTATAATTTTATAAACCGGAACGTGAAAATGGTGGCGCAACAGCGCCAGGTGAGCAAATCTGAAAAATGAATATACTGGGAATTTTCCATCAAATAAGCTCGAATGGCGGTTCTTGGAATTTTATGATTTCACTCTTTATTTAGTCGTACGATCGAAGTTGATTTTACTGACAGTTCTGGTTGATACTAGAATATAAACATTTTTCACTGCCGCTCAAAAGTCTCGTTAGACTTTTCATTTTTAATATTCGTATTATACTTGCTCTTATTTCATTTTTTAATCACATTTTTTTCGTACAACTCTCAATGTATTAAAAGTTTACAGATTTAAGTTTACATTGTTGTATGAATCATTATTTAATATTATTGAACGTTAGATTTAATACAGTATCATTTAATGCTTTTATTTACTCTAATCTATAAAAATAAAATCTATAAAAATTTTAATTCTATAAATAATACAGTAGTGTTAATTTTGCAAGTAATTTTAAAAATTTATCACGATATAATTTTCATTCAGAAATTTGAATAAAAACTTGTGTTCTTTATTGTTTTAGAAACAAGTGCTATTTAATGCTAGACTTCAACACTTCTCATTTTCCCATAGAAATTATGAATTATAGAGATCAATTTTATAAGCACTGTAATGTAATAATGTTAACTTAAAAATAATTTTCAGTAGAAATTTCAAAAATTTACACAACGACATAATTTTTAATGTTTAACGAAAGCAATCCAAATTCTCTGATATAAATTTTATATTTTCATCTTCAGTAGTTCTAGTGTTAATTATTACAGCAAGAATCGAAAATGCAATGCAAACGAATAAAATAATATACTATTTTTTACCGTAACCGGAATCCGTCATTTAATTTTATAATGCATAGTCGATTTAATATACTTGCGAAGCTATTAAGCTATTGTTGGTCATGGTATTTGAGTGAATTATGCTCCTTCGCGAAGAAAAGGAATCGTTGCGTAAACAGCTGCTGGAAAACTAATCAGTCTAAGACAGCGACGTTTGCAGAGGAGATTTCTTCGGTGCATTAACTTCAATTCGAGATTTATTTTAAGCGTTCTCTCAGATGATTAAATACGCTTTGCGAAAGTTATATGTCCAAGCTTTGTGCGATCGTGCAGACAGATATCGAAGAAAGGAAAGAAATTGAAAGAGATTGTAAAAAGTTTGAAAGTTCCAGTCGACCAGGGGAAACTCTAGTTCCGTTTTGTATTTTAAATCGAATTCTTCTCGAATCTCTCGCGCTATATAAGAATAATTTCTCAAAATCTTTCTCTGCTTTTGTATCTTGTTTTGCATTTTACGATGTTTTCCATATTTTGATCGACCATAACGCTTTCATAAGTTCTTGAAGAATTTCTTTCGAGCCATGCTAATCTTTTTCAGTTTAAGGATAATTGCTTGCCACACTTTTGTTCTCTCTTTGTTTTTCGTAGTTCACTCTATCAGACGACGATATTTTAGTCGAAACGTAACACTTGAAAATTTCTCTCCAATTTTTGTTCCTCATCTCTGTTTCTCGTACTTTATTCCACTGCATGACCATTTCAGTCGAACCTGGAAACGCTTCCATAAGTTTTGTTGCAAATTTCTTTCGGAGCCGGTTAATACGCGGCCGATTTAAATTTACGGGCTGTGATACCTTCGGAAATACGTTTACGAATATCTTCGTAAATTTCCGAGAAGCTTTCGGGAGGAAGGTGAACGTTCCAACGGGAACCAATGATCTAACTTAAGTATCTGTTAAATCGTAAGACCAAGCGGTCGTACCATATATTTCGGTACGGTGTGCTCGAATATCTTGCAAGTTCGCGCGCAGACAAGGGCTGTACAGATGAAGTTGGCGGAAGTTAACCGGCCCTCTTCCTCGGGCTTTTCCTCTCCCTCTCGTGTTTTACTACAACTGTGCAAGTCGCGGACGTGTTTACGCAAATGCGGTGAAGTGTTGCTTCCTCGAGAAACTCGATTTATTCGATGAGAGAATAAAGAAACGCGAGTGAGAACGCTACTTTTATCAATTAATTCTACTCCGAGAAACGTATGCAATGGGAGAAAGTTTAAAATTATCTATATTATGTACACCGTGTCTGTGTACGAGTGCACTCAAAAAGTATGTCGATGTATCAGTTTTAATCATTTTTATGAAACCTACGATATGTATCTCTATATATTTTTTATTGTTAAATAATGTCTAATGAAAATTTCACTAGATAACAGTATTAATCGTTCAGGATTGATCTCTTGAATAAATAAAGATTTGTTCGATAAAGCACATTATACTTTGTTAGAGAACTTTGAAATTTCACTAATGTTCATTAATGTAGCGATTGTCGCGATTACATCGATAAATTTCGAAACAAAAGCGTACATTTAGTAAAAAACTAGCATCATATTAAGTATATAACAAGTGTCGAATATGATCCTTTGAATATTAAAACAGATCACGGCTGTGTGTTTAAATATTCTTGCGACCTCTGCGAGATACAATCTTGTAATTTCTATCTGTATTTTTAGATTTGAAGTCTAGAACTTGATTATCAGTACGAAAACGAAAGAGTTATTATT